GATGCTCAAGGGAAGAAGGATGCTCAAGGGAAGAAGGATGCTCAAGGAAGGAAGGGAGGATACTCAAGGGAGGAGGGATGCTCAAGGGAGGAAGGGTGCTCAAGGGAGGAGGGATACTCAAGGGAGGAAGGGTGCTCAATGGAGGAGGGATGCTCAAGGGAGGAAGGGTGCTCAAGGGATTGCTATTTAGGACCTCAACTCACTACTTGAAACTCCCACTGTCAGCCCCGCTCACTACTCCTCTGGCTGCATTTGGTTCTTAGGGACTCACCTGTGACGAGAACCGTGACAAAATGACCATGAATGTAGATGTCTGGCTTCCGGCTTCGGGCACAGCACTGGTAGGTCCCACTGTCCGATGGTGTGGCTTGTTCTATGGTGAACACCAGCTGAGATTGCTGTTCACTGCTGCCACCTGTCCCCGGATCCCTTTTTACCCTTAGCTGCTCTAAGCTGGTCTCGGGAGAGCAGTCCGACGGCCTGTCTTTGCACCAGAAGAGTATTAGCCCCTCGGCTTCGCCTCTCTTGTGCCACACAGTGCAGGTGAAGACCAGTTGTCCTCCTTTCTGGGATGCAGAGCTGGTGGCATGGATGCATCCTGGAATAGGAATGCAGGAGTTACCATGGGAAGCCAGGGAGAGTTCCTTAAGTCACACCTAGCTCGTCCTTGTCTCCAGAGTGTCTTGTGTGACACTAGTCTGACAGTGACACGGGCAGGTGGGAAACACAGCTTCTAGCTGTTCCTGGGGCAATGAGCACATTGCCTGCCTCCTCTAATTTTCCTGGGAGGTGAGACCTAAGGGACCAGATACATCCATGTGAAGTTTCTACTTCACGATGCTGGAGGGCAGGGGACTGCCTTAGTGACTTTTCTATGGCTGTGACAAAGCACCATGACCAAGGCAACTTTAAAAAAATAAACCTTTAATTTTTCAGGGAGGGTTAGAATCCACGCAGAGCGAAGGCGTGGTGGCAGGAATAGCTGAGAGCTCACATCTGAACCCATAAGCAAGAGAGAGCACATTGAGAGGAATAAGAGGACTTTGAAACCCCAAGCCTGCCCCACAGTGACATATCTTCTCCAACAAGGTCATACAACTTAATCCTTCCCAAATAGCCACTAACTGAGCACCAAATAGTCAAATACCAAGACTTATTCAGGACATCTCATTCAAACCATCAAAGCTCTGCTCTCAAGTGTACAGCCCAATGTAAAGATCAGCAAAATACAAGCCAGGCAGTGGTGGTGCACACTTTTAGTCCCAGCACTTGGGAGGCAGAGGCAGGCATCTCTGAGTTCAAGGCCTGCCTGATCTACACAGAGAAACCCTGTCTCAAAAACCCCCAAATAATAACAATAATAGATAACATAGATAAAAATAAAATGAATTTTAAAAGATTAGCAAAATACTGCCCTCCAGATTCCCAGCAGTAACAGCAGCCATGGCTAGAGCCAAGGCATGCAAACGCCACTTGGTAGAGACAGAGGGAGAGGCAGTGGCAGTGATGTCCCTGGTTCTGGAGGTGGCAGGGTGGGTGGGTTGGGGGAGGCCCTATGCCAATGGCGAGAACACGTTCGCAGGGTGAAATTTCATTCTTGCATGAATGCAAACGAGTGCTCTGAAATATTTTCTGCCTTGGGGAGAGAAATCAGTGGTACACAATAAACTCAAATGCCTGGGAAGCCTTAGTTGGGATCTACAGGAAGTAAGGAGGGAAATGAGATGGAACTCCAGGAAGGTAGGACAGGAGAGCCGTGTGCCAGGAGAGCCGTGTCTCAGGCGTATTTTCAAGCCAAAGATGGGAAACAATAAAGTCACAAAACTTCTACTCTCGTGATATGATTCAACCAATGTAGCTGTGGCCAGGCAATCCCTGAAGAAGCCACTCAAGGGCAAACAGGCCCCCCAAAATAAGGGTTGGGGGATGCAACAGCAGCAAACGTAGGTGTCTACCTTGTCCAAAGGAACCCCATGGGGAGCAGGGCTGAGCGGCAGTCTGAAGAGAGGAAAAGATGAGTTGATTGAGAGTGGCAAGGAGAAGACAGGGGCATGATGTCCACCAAGCCGTTCTCTCGGGGCATCTTTGTGGCGGTGGACCTCACCTGGTTCACAGACACCAAGAGTCGAGGGGTTGTGTATGCAGAAGATCCCTCCATGGGTTGCTACGTGGTATTGTACTGTTTTCAGCATCTCAGCTAAGCTACGGCATGGCTGCTGCTGGAGCCATGGGTCTATGTAGGAACTGCCAGATGGAGCTAGTGTGCCTCGTGCCTGGTACCTCCTGCCACTGCACGGTCAGGAGGGCTTCCAGCAGAGTGCTGGCCCTGCTGCAAGGTTGGGTGGAAGCCTGCCACGGATGAAGCAGTAACTATTGCTTTACCCTCCCAGCCATCTCCCCTCTTCAAAGGACAAAGCCCTCAAAGAGAAAGGACCGTTTTTATGCATGAGTGGTGTGTGTATGTGTTTGTGTGGGTGGTGCGTGTGTGTGAGTGTGGTATGGGGTGTGTGTGTGTAAATGTGGTGTGTGTGAGTGTGGGGTGAGTGTGTGGTGTGGTGTGTGTGTGGTGTATAGGTATGTGTGAGTGTGGTGTGTGTGTGAGTGTGGTGTGGTGTTTGTGGTGTGTTGTGGTGTGTGTGTATGTGTGAGTGTGGTATGGTGTAGTGTGGGGTGTATGTGTGTGGTGTGGTGTGTATGTGAGTGTGGTGTGTGTGTGTGCATGTGTGAGTGTGGTATGGTGTGGTGTAGTGTGTGTGTGTGTAGGTCAGAGGACAGCCTCAGTAGCATCTTCAAGAACACTTTACCTCTTTTGAGACAGGGTCTCTGGCTAGATTGGCTGGTCAGTAAGCCTAAAGGATCCTCCTGTCTCCACCTCGCTGGTTCTGGGATTCCAAGTACCTGCTACTGCCATGCTTGGCGTTTTTGTGTCTGGTTGGCCAGCACTTTACCGATTAAGCTCTCTTTCAAACCCATTTTTCTTTTTAAAAGTAAAATCTTAGAAAATTACTTAAGCTGCATTAATTTTTAAAAAATAGATGTGTTCATTTTATGTATATGAGTGTTTTGCCTGAATATATCTATATACACCATGGACTTGCCTGGTGTCCAAGGAGGTTAGAAGAGGGTGATGGACCTCTGGAACTGGAGTTATGGATGGTTGTGAGCCACCATGTGGGGACTGGGAATTGAACCAGGTTCACTGCAAGAGCAGCCAGTGCTCTTAACCACTGAGCCATTATTCCAGCCCTTCAGCTATTTTAAAAAAGTTTATCTACATGCCTTTGCAGTCTCGTGTTTGTGTTACACAGGTTTCCAAAGCCAGATTTAGGCAGATGGTCTTATGTTATCAGAAATCTCATATCCTAATTATATTGTTTTGTTCACGGGTCAGATGTTTTTACTTCCCCTTCGTGTGGTCAGACTCACAGGTTTCGGAGGAAGACGTGACTGGGGATGCCCCAGTTAATGCCTGTGAAAGCCTGACCCCTGCACTGCGGGGTCAAAAGCAGATGGATGTGAGGGAGCACTGCCTCAATGGCCTTAGTGGGACGTCTCCAAGCACTTGTTCTCCTACACCTTGACAGACACTTGGCAAAGTATATGAATATATCCTTAAGGGTTTCTCAGGAAGCTTTTCAAGTTTGCAGGCCCCGTGGTCTGAAGGCACCAGCTGGGCACAAATCTTTTCTTCCACAGGTTGCTACTCCCCCTGGCACCACAGAGCATGAGGGTGGGTAAAGTGGACAGGAAAGTATTGCTTCCCTGATAGATTTAAGTCTATCTATCTATCTATCTATCTATCTATCTATCTATCTATCTATCTATCTATCTATCTATCATTGATTACCACAAAATAAAAAATTGCCACCAAATTATGTAGTTACTATAATTGAGGGAGCTTATGAGTTCCCGTGTGTGCCTGGAAGAACCAGGGAATCTCCACAGAGAAATCAGCGCTTGTGTTGCGATTTTTCCTACAAGAAAACATGCACGGGGAACTCCTTCCCCTGAGCCCCGGATTCTCCCCTAATGGCCGTCTCTGTCCCGGCACCTATACTCACCACCACATTGGAAGTCCACGATTGCCAGCAGGATGGCTAGGGCACAGTAGCTTTGGCCAGGTGGCATCAGGATTTGCATGTTGTCAGCAGCCCCAGGAATTCCACGTAAGTGTTGGCTTTGCTGGTCTGTGGCCTCACACCCCTGAAAGCACAGAGACACATTAGCTGAAGCCTTCCAGACCTCTAGGACTGTCTCCCTATTTTAGGCGCTTATTGAAGTTACTCAAAGTGTGAAGGAGATGAAGAGAGTGCCCAGGGCACAGAGGGTTTGGAAGTGATATCAGAAGATCAAGTGAGGTATAACTGGAGAGAGGAACGGGCTGGGCTGGGCTGAGAGATGTTGCTTAGCTTTCATGGGCTTATTTGGCAAATGGCCCCTGTTATCTCCATCCATCCATGTATATTATACATATATGTCCATATGTAAACAAATGTCCATGTGGGTAAATCTATAATCCGTAAAGAGGAGAGAAGAAAGGGCAAATATAAGGGACTGGGGAAGGACTGAACTCAGGTAAAGGGCACTGTGTCCTGAAAGCAGATACAAAGTTAACGTTGCTCCAGTTTCAGCTCTACCATGGATATTTTGGTGATGGGTAAGTGCAAAAGATATATTGACTAGTGAAAGCGTAAGATCTGATGTGAAGCTTCGGAGTGCCTGTCTCAGTTCCGTAGGCATTTGCTAAAATGCAAGGACTTTGGGTCTGGCTAATTTTGATGTGTGATTTTTTTTTATTTGCAAATTTTTTACAATACAGTTTTAATTTTAAAAAAATGTTTGGGTTTCCAATATTGTTTTAATAAATTTTCCCTTGGGTTGAGATTATTTTCTCCTAATATTTTTATTAGTTTATTTTAATATGTTTAAATAACCTAATCCTGTTTAAGCAAAATTATGTCCACATTTTAAAAAGCACTCAAATTGAAAGGGAAAAGTCAACAGGAGGCTGATTTGGTAAATTTGGTTCATTCATACAAGAGAATATTACACGGGCATGTGCTGTGTATCAGCATTTCAGTCAGTGACAGACGGCACGGACATCAGTGGTCCTTAGAGATTATAACGAAATGGGGCAGAAATGAGCGACTGGAAGGACAAGAAAAAAAAGAACCGAAGAAAAGAGAGTGGAGGAAAATGAAAATGAAAAGAAGGCCAGAAGAAAAGAGAATAGCAAGAAAACCACGGTGAAGGGGTTCGCAGACTTTGCAGACTTCAGCCAGCTTTGAAGACAGGGACCGCAGTGTTGAGGTCCCTAATAGTGTGTCACCTGCTCATCAGCAGAGACACCAAGCAAGCCAGCGTGCATGTATATCTGAGGGGTCCTACGCAAGAGGAGCTTGGGCAGGTCCTTCGTGAGGGATGCCAGAAAAAGATGGTGGTGTCTCAGGGGATGACGGCCTTGAGGGCCTTCTAGTGGGGCGATACTGAAGATGGAAGGCAGGAGCATCGATGACCTTGACCTCTGCAGACATAGGTTACATGTGTTATGTTTTTCTTTTTTATTGAATGTGTTCATTTTTAACAGAAAAGGTTTAAAAATCAGGAAAGCTTAAAGGATAAGAATATATGTATGTATGTACACACACATGCACGCACACACACATTTCTTACACAGCTGTATAATGTGTATAATGTCTTTGTAGGGACTTTTCCCCAGACTGGCCGCAAACTCATAAGCCTTTTGCCTCAGCCTACCCAGCTGTGAAAATGCATGGGACAACCAAACTGGCATGTTTATGTTTTAGGTTAAATTTAAATATTAAGGAGACTGTAAAGTAAAATGTTATCGTGAGCTAAGGCTACTTCATGACTGAAGTCAGTTTATTTCTGAGGTGTTGGGGATCCAGACCAGGATTTGGGGTCTGACCTATTTAGAGTGGCTGTTGTGCAGTGCACAGCAGTGCACAGCAGAGCACAGCACAGCAGTGCACAGCAGAGCACAGCACAGCAGTGCACAGCAGAGCACAGCAGTGCACAGCAGAGCACAGCACAGCAGAGCACAGCACAGCACAGCACAGCAGTGCACAGCAGAGCACAGCAGAGCACAGCAGTGCTCAGTCATGCCCCAGGCTTCCATCACTCATGCTCTGAAGAGATTCCCAGACCTGCAGACTCCAGGCACGGAAAGTACTTTATCCAGGCATTCAATTTAAAGCCATCGGACTCTATTTTTACTGTATATTGTGTCTAAATACATACTGTTGTATTATGGCTGCCTACAAAATCATTAAAGTAACATACTATGCAGGTGTGTAACCCAAGAGCAAAAGATTGTGCCAGATGGCCAAGGTGTGCAGAGGCTAGGGCATCTTGGTTTGTATGCATACTCTATGTTGTACTGTCATGAAATTATCTAGTGATGTATTTCTCAGTGTGCCATCATCATTAGTGATGCGTTATTTTAAATTATTTATTATCTTATTATTCTTAAATTGTTTTTAAAATATACCTTTCTATGATGTAGCATGCAGGCCCTCAGCAGATGCTAGTGCTACACACTTGGACGTTTCCATGTCTAGAATCAGGAGTCAAATCAACCTCTATTACTTATTTAAAATCTGAACTCGATTAGTTTTATACACATGGGCTTAAATTATATCTATCATAATTTAGTATGTCAAAATGTGCATCATGTAGGATATATATATATATATATTCATTTCATGTAGGCTATATATTTACTGTACATTGTCTGTGTCTGGATATATAACTACCTACTGCTGTATTACAGTTGCCTACAGTATTCATCATAGTCAAATGCTGTGTGGGTGTGTAACCCAAGAGCCTTGTTGTACCAGATGGCTAAAGTATGCAGAGGCTATGCCATCTTGGTTTGTATACATACCCTCTATGGTTTCTAAGAATCTTCTGTGTTATACACACACACACACACACACACACACATTTAGATATTTCCAGTCTCTACCTTCTTGAAGAGGTATACTCACAAGTTTTGTATCACTGTTTCACTGATGAGACACAGCAGTTTACTGAAGCAGCTTCAGGAAGGGAAGGACTACTTTGGCTCATAGCTTCAAAGGGATGCCAGCTTGTTATAGCACGGGAGCCTTAGGGGCATGGTTTGTGGTGGAGGGAGCTTGTGGCACAGGTTTGTTTACATGACAGCAAGCATGGCACAGAGAACTGGGCCAGAAGAGGCTGGTTGGCTCTGGTGAGCCAGGCTCCTTGTCTTAAGATGCTCTCTTAGCACCATGAACTGGGGAGTAAGTATTCAAAATACACGCCACTGGTGTACATTACAGACTTGAGCTCCAAAATTTGAGGGAGAAAATCAGAAATAGTTATAAATCCTGTTTCTGATTTTTCAGTTATATATTTAAAGATTTATTATTTGTATCTTTGGGCACTGTGTGAAGGTGCTCAGGGAGTCCAGAAGAGGGCGTCTGACCCTGGAGCTGAGTGACAGGAGGTTGTGGGCAGCCCTGTGGGTCCTGGGAACAGAATCCTGATCCCTGCTAAAGCAGTCAGTGTTCTTAGTCACTGAACTGTTGCGGGAGTATCTTCCGCTGCTTCAGCCGATAGTCGCTGAAGCACAAGCCCACGGTGCTGTGGGAGCGCCTTCCGCTCCGTCAGCCAATAGCCGCTGAAATACCAGCCCACTGGGGCGTGGTATGTTTCTCTTTTAAAAAGAGCCACAGAGCTCGGCTTGGCCCTCTTGGTTCCGGTGCTTGGTTCCGGCTCCTGCTCCCGGCTCCTGCTCCAGCGACTAGGCTCCCTTCCTGACGGTTTATGGTGTATGTTTTACCCCCCCAAAATAAATAACCCCTTAAAACATAACTGGTGTGGGATTGATTCGCCGTTACTGAACCATCTCTCCATCCCTTACACCGTACTTTTGTCACATATCAGTTCTATAAAGCTATGGATCTCATTGCTCTTTCACACACAGACACAGCACCGTGATCATAGTCACCTCCACCATTGTCTTCCCTTATCACCCTTTCCAAGCCAAGGAAGATCAATCACTTTTCTTTCATGTTTGTTTTTGTGCATGGGTGTTTTGCCTGCATATATACTCATGAGCCACATGTGTGCAGTGCCTGTAGAAGCTAGAATGTTGAATTTATCTTTTAACTTAGGGAGAACTAAAATTTTTGTGACATTAATTCTTCAGATCCGAGCATAGATTTCCATGTTGTGTATTAGTTTCTTTTCTGTTGCTCTGATAAAACATCAGAACCAACAGCAACTTAGAGAAGAAAGAGCTTCAGTTTCCAATCCAGGGGAATAAGATTTCATCATGGCCGGGCAGTGGTGGCGCACACCTATAATCCCAGCACTCGGGAGGCAGAGGCAGGCAGATCTCTCCGAATTTGAGGCCAGCCTGGTCTACAGAGGGTTGTAGACCAGCCAGCCAGGCCTATACAGTGAGACTCTGTCTCGGAAAAAAATCCAGTCGTAGACCACATGCAAGAGGAATGCCGAAGAGTACTGAGGGCTGGAGAGGTTGCTCAGAGGGTAAAGGTGCCCGCCACCAACCCTGACACCCTGAGTGTGATCCCCAGGACCTGAATGGTAGGAGAGAGCAGACTCCAGAAAGTTGACCTCTGACCCTTCCTAAATATACAGTAAAATAAAAATAAATGTCATTAAGAAAAGCAATGACGTGGAAATTCAAAACTAAAAGGATGAAAAATAGTGGTTAAGTATTAAGTATTGTCAGCATAACTAAGTTAATATAAGGCAAAAGTATACAGTTTTATAAAGAAATACACAAGGTCAAGGACATGCTTTGCTGGCCTCTACACACACTGCACACATTGGTGCACAAACACGCTTGCAGGCAAAACACCCATACACATAAAAATAAAGCAATGAAAAAAGATAGTCTGAAACTATGTAATAACCCTTAGCTATATAAAGTAAAGTTTGGAGAAATTGCTGGAAGAAATGGGAACTACAATGATACCCATAGTTCAGCCCAGCTTCCTCAGCTGTGAAGTGATAAAAAGGTAGGTATAGAAGATTGAAAGAAACAACCAGCCCAATGCAGCTACAGAAGTCTTTCCAACAATCCTTTGCAGCACACATATTCTTCTAAACAAATCAAACAGTTTGGAAATTGATAGTGTACTAGCCAATAAAGCGAAGCTCAGACTGTCAGTATTGCAAGGCCAGACTCTGTTTCAGTGCAACTAGCTTAGATGTCAAAAACCATACGGTACATTTTTAAAACTCTATTCTGGGACAACATCAGGCTTCTTAGACTTCTGTGCTGGGCCCTAAATCAAGCCCTTGAGAAGTGAAAATATCTGACATTACGTCCCATCTAGCACGTGCCGGGTAGGTACGTGGTGGACAGAGAGATCATTAAAACAGGGGTCTACGTGTCGCTCCACGCCGCCTAGGCAGGTCGGGTTTGAAGTCTGGCTTGACACTTGCTAGTTGTCCAATGTTGGAAAAGTTTCTTAATCTCTCTGAAAATGAGTTTACTGATGAATAAGATGTTGACAACAGCGTTCTCGCCCCAAGGTAATTATGGGGGTTAATCTAGCAGCCTTGTGAGCACAGCATGGTGCTTGATGTAGCGCAACTGCTCAAAAAATGCCAGCCATGCTGATTCTGACGGCCGCACAACTGGCTGCAGCTCATGCGCAGTCGTATTTAGTGCTTGTAAAACTCTGAGCTCTCATCAACCACGTGTTCGGTGCAGAAGTCTTAGAGGAGCCGTGCGACTTGCTTAAAGTTACAGAGACCGGGTTGGGAGGTGGGATCCTAACCCCCCCCCCCCCCGCAGTCTTTGGTACCTCTCCTTACAGCCATCTCTCCCCATTCCCAAACAGTGAAGCATAAAGGGCCATGACAAGAACATAGTTGGGGTTGCAGTTTAGAAGGGTTAGAAAAGGACGAATGCGGGCCCGGGGCTCTGGGAAGGTTGCAGGATGGCAGTGGAATTGGGTCTTGGTCGTTTTATTGATTTTAGGTATTGGTACCGGAAGGATGCGGTGGGAAAAAGAAGGTGGCGAAGGAGAACCGACCGGTTGGATGATTTAGCTTGAAATCATGCTGTATACTTGCTGGCTGTGAGATGCCAGAAGGTCCTACCTCTTCTTCAAGATTATGTCCTCAGGGACTGATGCAATGGGATGGGAGGGGCGGAGTAGAGACCACTTCCAACTTCAGAACGACTGGCAGGCTGTCGTGCTGCAAGGCGCCGGTCCCTCCGCCGGAGTGGCTACGAGGTGATGAAGTCTGGCTGGACCACCGTGTGTAAGTATGTTTGGGCTCCTCAGCCGGTTTGGGGGTAGGCGGGGACGATTTGGGTAAAGACTCCCTTGTCAGAAGTGACCTTGATTTCTGGAGCACCTGGTGCTTCCCGGGGGCAGGCACAGATGGTTGGAGCTCTCGCCGCTAGAGGGCGCTGCCTCCCAGCCCCGGGTGTGACCTTCGCCTCTTCGTTGGCTCAGTCCAGCCCAGGGCTCCACCAGTCTGAAGAGCAGGGGACTGGTGGAGTCCGAGGTCAGAGGTGGGGCCAACAACCTTAACTAGGAGTGGAGAGGAGGAGAGTACAAGATTGGGTCCGGTGGGCCCAGTGACAAGGACTGTGCTCGAAGCTGCTAATGGCTCTCTAGTATCAAGAGAGGTGGGGTATGGGAGGACAGAACTTTCTGGCTCCATTACGCCCCCAGCCGCAGGTCCTGCCTCCCTCGTGGAATGCGGTGAGCTCTGGGGGTAGGGGATGGGAAGGGTGCAGATAGGGTTGGTATCCTCACATTTGAGTTTTCCTGAACTGCTCTGACCTCAGGGATTTCTTGGACTCTCAGAAATCTTTGGTAAGAGATGGAGGAAAGCGGTAAACGCCCTCAACTCTAATTTATGAGAAACCAGAGTTCCGGGGAAGCCTTGGCGCCCTTTCTCGCTGTTCTCGGCCTGCCCTTCTAACCCGGTCCCTTGAGCTGGAGCGCAGCTTCCTAACCGCGGCTCAAAGGGAACTGTGGAGGGCCAGATGGCTCAGCCGTGCTTGCCGCAAAGCCCAAGGACTTGAGTTCATTCACAATGGAAGGAGGTAACCGACTCTTGCAAGTTGCCCTCTGACCTTTACGTGTACAGCATGCACATATATACACACGCATCTATGCACACTAAATAAATATAGTAAAACAGTATTTTAAAGGGGACCAAGGAGCCTTTTGAAGGCCTGGTGAAGAACATGAGGCTTGTGCTCACAGGGAGGCAGCCACGATGTTTTTAGCGAAGTCAAATCCACGTGATTTGTCTAGTTTTCCTTTAATCTTGGGTATTTTGTTTCTCTTGCTGAGAATGTGTGGAAACACTAGAGAACCTACAATCCTGTAGCACGTATCTGCAAACCTGTAGTTTTCTATACAGTCACAATGTACTTTTGCTACCTTCTGATTTATTTTGCAACACGTTACTGTACAGTAGCAAATCACTTTCAGTTATGTGTAAAGGAATAAATTAATTAAAATGCTCTTTATAAAAAAATTAATGAGATGGGTTGGAAAAATGACTAGTTGCTCTTGCAGAAGTCAGGGCTGGGTTCCAGCATCCACAGGGTGGCACCTCTGTCTGTAACTCCAGTTTGAGGGCACCCAACACCCTCTTCTGGCTTCTGTAGGCACCAAGCTCACATGCGGTGCATGTGTGTGTGAGCATGTGAGTATGTGCTTGTGTGTGTGTGAAGGCAAAACATTCATAATATATGGAATAAAAATCAGTCTAGAATTAATAAAACAAAATGCATAGGATAATAAAGGAAGCAAATTCTATAAAGATGGTTGTTGGAACAGTTACAGGAATGCATGATAGAGTAACATACACTTCCTCAGACCCGGTGTCCATCTGACAACGACCATCATTTTTTTTTAAATATTTAAAATATAAATTTTAAATATTTTATTTTATGTGTATAGTTGTTTTACCTATGTGTATGCCTGTGTGCTGTTTGGGTGTGTGGTGTCTGTGGAGGCCAGAACAGGGCATTGGATCCCCTGGAACTGGAGTTATAAATGGCCATGAGCCTCCGTGTGAGGGAACCTGGTCCTCTGCAGGAGCAGCCGGCACACTTAGCCACTGAGCGATCACTCCAGCCCTTGTCTAGTCCAAGGAAGTATAACAACTGCCAAGAGATTTGAAGATACCTGTGCTTTCTGCTAACGGCAGATTCTCCTGTGGCTCCTTGCCTGCAACACCCCACCTCCACCCCGAGACAGGGTTTCTCTGTGTAACAACTCTGACTGTCCTGGAACTCGTTTTGTAGACCGGGCTGGCCTTGAACTCACAGAGATCCGCTTGCCTCCCAAATGCTGGTCTTAAAGGCATTTACCACCACACCTGGCTCCTTACCTACATTTTTAATGGAAGCAAATACCAATTCCCTAGCAAAGGCTGACAAAAGCGAAGATGTATTTTCTCCCCAGACTCACAAACCCCTTGTGGGGTCAGATGCCCTAGGTAAGCAACCAGCTCTGACTCACAGGCAAAGGCTAAGACTTCTTCCCACTGAGGAGGCAGCTGGAACTGAACTGAGGGCAAAACATTGCTTTTTTTAATCCCCAGGAATCTAGAGGTTTACTCTGCCCAAACCACACCACGACTAAGGCTGCCCTTGTTTGTGCCACCTCCGGTGCCGAGGACATGAATGTCCCTTAGAGACACCTCACAGAGGCAGCTCACATCCAGCCCAGACCCAAGGGCTGTAGCAAAGGCTTCACAACCTGTGGTACCTTTCTTGTGGTAATTCTTCATCTTCTTTGTATTTATAGAAATAAGTGTCTTTCACCCACCATCTTCTCCTGAACACAGAACCAGAGAGAGCACCTGGAGGAGTCGGCCCAGCATGCCTGAGTTGAGCTGGACAGGCTGAACTCTAAAATGCTCACCAAGAGAGACTTCCCTCCCGTGGATGGGGTGTGGTCTTTCTCCTTGAAGGCATATCTGAGCCAGCCAAGCCCATGAGAAGGAAGGGTGAGCACGCCAGCCCACCACCATAAGTAGCCTATCTCTTCCTCAGACTTCTGAAGGCAGAGAACATTTATTTCCCTTTGAGAAGCAGGCTTCTCAATGCCTCACTGAAAGCTTGACCTCATGTGAGCAGTTATGCCAAGCATTCCACCTCTCCCCAGAGCCCAGATACCTCAGGACAGAATTCTTCCTTGCTCTCAAGCTGGGTGCTCTCAAGCTGGGTGCTCTCAAGCTGGGCGCTCACGTTTGCTCGTGATTCTTATGCTGATGTCTTTCTCTTGTTGAAAACTGTCTCCCCACTTCCGTCTTGGCTCCTACTGTGTCAGTCTCATAGTGAGCTTTGAAAAACCACAGGATGGGTTTTTAGCAACTGGGGGGGGGGTCTTCCTGCCTTTTTTCCTCTACCCCTACAACTTTTCCTCTCTGCCTTCTCCCCATCACCTCCTCCTCTTTCCACGTCCCTCTTATTAGAAATCCACTAAAGTTCTGAGAGGACTGAGAAAAGTCGCCCCTTGAAATAGGTTTCTTTACCTTGGGAAATGAAGATTTCTCACTTGTTAATGGATAAAGGTGGCTCTGGTAATAGAGACGACCAGAAGATGCAAAGACAGAGCGTGCTCTCAGGGATAGGGGCGCTCTGTCTTTTCCTGTTGGGTACCTTTGGATTTGGAGCCGTTTAGAGCGCAGCAAGACCAGTTCCACTCTGAACCCGTGCGGCAGGAAGTTTTGTAGTTCAGAGACACCGGCCGCGACTGCCAGCTAGTGCCAGGCTAGCTAGAAGCTTGAGTTAATGTCATAAGGAGGGCACTGGGGAAGCTTCTTCCTGGCTAATGCAGAGCGCTCACACCGTTGCCACCCTGCTCAGAAAAGTGCTCACGCCAGTTGCCTCCCTGAAGCCATCGTTGGATGAGACAGACCTCACGTGGCGGCTTGTCCATCTTGCTTTCTTGGCCCCTGGAGACAGACTTCGTAAATGTATCAGTCCGTCAGTGTTTGGCTTTCTTTGATGAGCAGCTTCTAGGAGCTTGGCTGATTAGAGCCCATGTTAGGGAGGAGACTCTCCACCTCGTCTCCATGTTTCTCACCACAGTTGATGTCATGGATATGGACCGCGAAAGTAGCCGGACTTCCGGGGTCCCAGTATCCTAATGCTGTGTCCCTGTGATAGTGGGTAAAGCACTGGAGTCCAGTTCTATGCTCTTGCCAATGTTGCATTGTTGTCGAGGGAAAAACAGTAAGTGTTCTGCCTGGTTTAAAAAAAAATGGAGGAAAAAGTAAAAAGAAGCAAACTGTGTAACATGAAGGGCCGGCTTGTTGGGGTTTCTGTCCTGCCGGGTACCCTACACCCAGCAAGCCCCAAAGGAAATCACACAATGATCTCCATAAATTATAAAACTGATTGGTCCATTAGCTCAGGCTACTTATTAGCTCTTATAACTTATGTTAGCCCATTATTTTTATCTATGTTAGCTACACGGCTCAGTACCTTTCTCAGTGGGGCAGCTTACATCTTGCCTCTCTGGTGATCTGGGCAGAACTGGGAGGAATGGGCTTCCTCCTTCCTAGCCTTCTCCTGTTCTCATCGATCCACCTCTACTTCCTGTCTGGTTCACCCGCCTATACTTCCTGCCTGGCCAATCAGCGTTTTATTAAAATACATGATTGACAGAATACAGATGGATTATGGATATTTTCCTTTGTGTGTTTTTTTTTTTAAAAGAGGGGGAAGTGGTGTGGGAGAATTGTCTGTATTCTGTCAATCATATTTTAAATAAATGCTGATTGGCCAGGCAGGAAGTATAGGTGGTAAAACCAGACAGTAAGTAGAGGTGGAGGAAAGAGAACAGGAGAATGCTAGGAAGGAGGAAGCCCAGTCCTCACCAGTTCTGCCCAAACCACCGAAGAGAAAAGATGTAAGCTGCCCTGCTGAGAAAGGTACTGAGCTGTGTGGCTAACATAGATAAAAATAATGGGCAAACATAAGTTACAAGAGCTAATAAGTAACCTGAGCTAAGGGCCAATCAGTTTATAATCTTATGGAGTCCTCTGTGTGATTTTCTTTGGGGCTTTCCGGCTGTGGGGTATAGGGCAGGACAGAAACCCCAACAAGCAAATTGGCCCTCATGTTATAAAAACTGGGTGGATGATAAACTATATTTCTATTTTTTATAGAATTATAAAGTTTCTGAATTGGAAGGACTACCTGGGTGTGTTGGCACAGGCTTTGGGAGGCAGAAGTTCAAGGTTAGCCTGGGCTAGTAGATCCTACCTTAAAAACAAAGTACATCATGATCAAAAGGGCAGAAAGAACCACAGTTGTCTGCTAGTCCAGTCTGTAATGATGTACAGAGATGTCCGTGCTAGTGGTTCTCAAAGGCAAGCGTGTCCAAATTAGCAGGCTGGCTTGTTAAAACAGTTGAGGCTCTGGAATTTCTGCTCAGTATTGGTGCAAAAACCTGGCTCTAACAAAGAGGATACGAGTTTATTCTGGAACCAAATATGAGTGACCATAGTCTGGGGATATGGATTTAGGTCACCCACCCCAAGTTCCACGTTCTGATGTGGAAAATGTTTCATGATGCTTTTATAGAGACAGAAAATCAAAAACCAGGGCACTTTTCAAGGACATTGGTGGCAGTGGCAGGGAGGAGGGGAGAAATCCCCTGTGGTCCTTGTTGCTAGCCCACCGGTTCTGTTGAGTTCATTCATTCCAAAAGGCTTTAAAATGTCAGTCTGATAGGAGGCTGGACAAAGAAGGGCTATTTGGGGAACCGAAGCTAACCCCAGAGGCGCTGCAAACTGTCTGTTGACCTGCAGCATTCCCAGCTCTACAGTTACTGAAGTTCTAACCTGTCAATCCACCTTGCTCAGGTTTCAGTGTTAAGGCAGGGGCAGCCACTTTCTGGAAGCTTTACATCACTGGCTGAGGGCTTGTCCACCTTGCCCGAAGCCCCAGGTTTGATCCATACATTGTATAAATTAGGTGGGACAGAGGAGGATCAGAAATTCACAGCCAGTCTGGGCTAGAGACTCTGCCTCAAACCAACAGTAATAACAGCAACGAAACATCATAATTGGCCTGGCGTTAGATTATACCAATGGCTAATCAGTTCACATTCACCGGCAGTCTCTCGGCCACTGAGGAGAATTCACTGAGAGCTGGCTCTGATCCTTAAACAGAGTCTCCAGACATGTTGCTGGGACTACAGTCCATCCGCAACCCTCAATTCTCATGTGGATTCTGGGGTCCATGCTGCTGTAGGGAGATAGTCATCCCATGGAAGAGTTTGTCTGTGAGTCAGTAAACACACTCCCTGACATCACACTTCAACTAGAGTGCCCCTCCTCCATACCTCTCCATCATCCTAGGAGTTTCACCTTCCTTCTCTGGAATTCTCTTCTCTTGTAGCCTGACCACAGACTCATGCTATGGAACTTTCTCCCTTTGGAACTTATAGAGAAGGATGCCTCACAGGCCTGATCTGCCATTAAAGCCCCATCGTGGTGTCTGTCCATCAGTGACACTAAGGATGGACCTCACCTCACAGCCCTGACTATGCTGGTCTCTGCCTGTCTGCTTACATGTCTACAGCATCAAGAACTCATCTAGTAAATTTCTTAATCAAGCCAGGCGGTGGTGGCACACACCTTTAATTCCAGCACTCGGGAGGCAGAAGCAGGGGGATCTTTGTGAGTTTGAGGCCAGCCTGGTCTACAGAGCTAGTTCCAGGACAGGCTCCAAAGTTATAGAAAAACCCTGTCTCGAAAAACAAAATTTTAACCTAAAGGACAATCTGCCTCATTGTAGCCCTTGAAACACATAAGATCTATGCAGCTTCTACCCTTTGGGTGGACCAAGCAGTTGCTTCTCTTCGGCTTCCAGCTGATGCTGTGATGGGTCCGCCAGAAATGAAAGCTACTCCAAAGAGACACTGTCTCTCAGGTTGAACATCAGGCTATGAGGCAATGGACCCAACAGAAGTAGCCCAGCCTAAGGGGGAGATCTGTCCCCCAGGAAGATTCCACAGGCTTCTAATAAGGTGTCAGACCATCTTTCGGGACACCACCAAAGCTCAGACAAGGATGCATCGATGGTGGGCAGAATCACACTTTGATGGGACTGCTTAGAGGCCCATGTCTTTGGCCCTCTATTTATATTATTTTTAAAGGATATATTTGTTTTTATTTCACGTGTATGAGGGTGTGTGTGTGTGTGTGTGTGTGTGTGTGTGTGTGTGTGTGTTTCTCTGTTTGTAGACCACATGTGTACCTGGTTCCTACTGAAGGTCAGAAGAAAGCATCCCTGGAACTGGAGTTATAGCCAGTTGTGAGATTCCAGGTGGGTGCTGGGACCCACACCCAGGTATTCTATAGGAACAACAACTGTGTTTAACCATGGAACCATCTCTCCAGTCTCTGGGCCCTCTATTTAAACTTAAAGTTCACTTCAGGACTCCAAGGATGAACTTTAAGAGGTCACTGGATCTCTTTGTTCCCTTCCCCAATGAATAAAACTCCATTTTCTGAATTTTCATATCAAGTTGGCTGTTTTAACTGACTTCTTGGGGGTACAGGCTGTGAGCCTAAATCTGGTGACACCACTAATAGTGATACTGTTTGTAAATGGTTCCTTTCCTCCCTCCCTTCCTCTCACCCACCCTCTCTGCCCCCCCCCCCCCCCCCCCCCCCCCTCCCAACCACCCTCCTCCTCCTCCTCCTCCTCTTCCTCTTCCTCCATCATAAGGTCTCACTACATAGCCTTGGCTGGCCTTGAACTCACAGAGATCTGCCTTCCTCATCTCTAGTGCTGGGATCAAAGACATGCGCCAGCACTGTGGCTCCACATCTTGCACCCCTGTTTCAGTCCCTCTAGGGGTGTATAGCTCATTACCCCAACCTGCTCACCTATTCTTTTTCTTTTTTTTTTCTGATTAAAGATTATCTTCATACAATATATTTTAATCATGTTTTTTCTCTCATTCCCAGTTCTTCCCCACCTCCCTACCTGCCAACTTCATGTTCTCTCTCTCTCAAAAAGAAATGAAACAAAAAACAAAAAGTCCAAGAAAAGCAAAATGAAACAAAATATCAACAAAAAAACCATTGCCTTTGCTTTTTGTTGGCCTCCTTCTCCTGAGCATTGGCCTGCCCTGAAGTGTGGTTGATATACCTAGTAATAAGACTCCATTAGAGAAAACAGGTTTTCCCTTTGTCTTTGGGTATCAATTGTAGATAGCTCTTGGCTAGGGTTGGGACCCTGTGTCCACTTCCCCCCTCAGTGCTGGGACCTCTGCTTGCTTGAGTCTATGCAGGCTGTGCA